TAAACAGCTACCTCGTTGAGGAAATTGTAGGCAATGGCGTCAGGTTGTTCACAGGACTCAAAGATCTTACGGGAAGTGCACTGGTGTGCGAAAATATGGAAACGTATAATTATTTCCAGAGTTTGGAAGACATTTACAAAAGGAACATTGATGCTCTGATATTGTTAAATGATAACTTGACAAAAGTTATTTTATTTGATGAACAGTGTGCCTGCATCACATATGAGCAACTGTCACAATATTTTTCATTTTCATTTTGCAGCGTTTGGTGGGGCAATGGGAGCGCAAGTCAATCCAAAGCCGAGGATAAAGGAAGGGTAATGGCTGAATAGTCTATGCGGACCACTTGAACGCCATGGGAAAAGGCAGGGGGGTTTGAGGAAATGACACCTAGTACTAGATTTGTGCTGCAAAATGTAAGGAAACCCTAAATCCATCTCCCACTGATTCATCCTTTCACATATATTCCAAATTGATATTTTAAAGCAACCATCAAAATAAACAGACAATATATGAAAAGGCTAGTTACCTCCCTAAGCGGACCCCCGAAATGAAATCTCTAATCCACCCAATCAACCATAACCCATGCTTTATTAAGTGCCTGCACTTGTGCTTGCTATCCAAAATTTAACGTGTTTCAAGTTGTTTTTGACTTTGACCTAAACTTATTATATATCAGTTCGTCCCAGGTGACACCTTCAATACCATGTACACAAATGGTGTTTAACATTTTTCCATGAGTAATACTTCAATGAAAACAACAATGAAAGCCCGTCACGCAAGTAGAAGGAGAACCGTTGGGCACCCTCTAAAATACCTCAATAGTACAACTCCCGTACAAACCCATCTGTGTAAAAATAAATAAAATTAGTGTGATTTGCGGAAAAAAAACCAGCCATCAGTGCCCATGCGTAAGCGTAGCACGACGCGGCTCTTTAAAAAAGGAGTAACAGGTGTGATAATATCACTTCAGACTAGAACCTTGGTTCTCTCGTGCAATGGTTCATCAGAGAGGGGAAGCTCAGTAATCTTCATCGCATGCTCATGACGCCACGGTATGAGCCAACGATGCCGGACCTAAACCAACCGTATCCAGCGCTCCAGTATGAAGCATTATATTGGGTCCACCCACCAACGTCCTGGTTAAAAACTAGCCAAGGGGAGGGCTTCATAATAACCCGGAGCGGTTCAATTGAATATCCTACTACACATTGTGATGATACTTTCCAAACGTGCATATCCATAGAAATAAATCCAATTCAATAAAGGATTGATTTCCACTGCGACTAAATCCAGCATTCCTACTAAAATATCAAATGCTGTGCTTAATCATTTATTACTAGTACAGAACAATAAACAATGTACGGTGATGATTAATCTGTGAATATGCTTTTATAAGCGGGTTCAAATGCACTTTTGGTAAGCATCAACACTGATCTGGCAACACGAGTCTGCATCTTTCCAATGTGGTAAAGATCCAGATCAGCCCTGGGACCTGGTAGTCTAATTAAACTACCTCAAGGTTTTGCCAAAGCCCAGAGATGAGCAACTGTCACCATATTAAAAACAAAATCACAAAAACACACTGAGTTTCGGCTTCGTGTTAACAGAACCATATTGCCTCGACATAACGCCACGACAGTAAATCAATGAGGGTTTGAAGCTTGTTTTATGGGTGAAGTAAGATATTGTATTTTGGTTTGAAAATCAAAAATAAAGCTTGTTTTAAAATAAACAATCAATAAGTTTTATTTACTGATAATTTGCGGTAATTATTAAATCCAATTAAATACTATCACAATCCATTTTAGATGTAAGAAATCATTCACTGCTCATATTGAAGTAAACAACACAGCTGATGACATAACTTGGAAGTCCATATTGTTATGCCTGAAACGTAGATGTCTTTTTCCACTAATGGCGGTAAGCTCCCACTAGTATTATCACTGAGATTATATCTCAATCACGGATTTCGAGAGAATACGACTGTATGAAAAACTTCTAAACATTTTTTTAACATTGAAAACCATGTTCGGGATTACATTACTCACCACACATTATTCGTTTGTCCGTTTGGCTCAACATTTTGACAGTTCGTTTGGCTCCGCTAGATTCGTATCCGCCGGTCTGTGTTTACTATACTATCTGTAGTATATATTAAGCGTGGATTTTTAAAAGAACAAATGCATATTGGATAAAATCATCAAAAACAGTCCTACAAATTGGTACATTTACGAAAATTTTTTGCTCGTAAGTTGTTGAGATGCAATAATCCAGATGTGTAGTTTCAATGCAGGTTTATACCCAACAATTATGTAATTCACTTAAAACACCCTGAATTTTCGCTATGATGAACTGGAATCTTCAATATTTAAAACATGAATCCAACACATTCGAGGGCCCAGCCGGCCAAACAATTAACCTTAAAATGGCATCAACCCGAACCCAAACCCAAACAAGTCATTCCTGGTAGCATTACGTAACATACTTTGGCATCAAGGCGAAGCTGAACCTCCGCGGAATTCCCCCCGCCGGCCGAATTAATCGAATTCCCATTTCAACCATTTTAGACACAAAATCAAACCAGACCTTGCAAAACGAACAGGAGCAAAAAAAAAATCTCAAGCGACAAGAGACACACATCCGTTCAGCGGAAAACCGTCTGTCTGCCACGTTCGATGATGATTTCGCCGCATGCGCCATCCCCGCCGGAACCTGCCATAAACGTCAACCGAATTTCAGACACCACGACCAACAGCGCAGCCAGCCGACGAAAAGGACAACGAAACCGTCACTACTACCAGCGTACAACTTCGAACCTTCGTACCTACCCAGACCTACCTACCTCCTCTACCTACCTAGCCAAAGAAAGGTGCCGCTCTAATGCCGGAAGGGAACCATATCATCATAATTTCGAATTCAGAACGGATTTTTTTTTTAACTTTTTGCATAAGAGCGATTATTATTTTTCATTTGATCTGTTCTTTTTTTGCATTCAGTTTTTTTATGTCTGTTTTCTGTGTTTTTCACCGTTTCTTTTAAATAATTAAATTATCATAATTTATACAATTGGTTTCATGCATTTCCGCTTACTTGCGCGGCTACTATCTGGGTCTGTCGGGATGTGAGTCCGTCCGGTCCGGTCTATCGGTCTGTATTTTTTTTATCTTTGCATTTTCTTACTGTTTGTTTTTTTTCTTCTGCATTTGTTTCTCCTAAAGAATATGTACAAACAAAGATAGTGTGTGTGGTTTGTTATCCAGGTTTTACATAAGATTTTTTTTTTAACTGTGTCTTCTGCTCTCTACACGGATATTAGCGCAAATTTGTTTTAGCGTGTGTTTGTCTTTCTATCCTCCATCTCTTCCCCAGGTTTTTTTTGTTTTTAATTTTATTTTGCTTCTCTGCTGTCTCACTAATGTTTTTTTTTTGCTTTTGTTTTTACTTTTTTTCTTTTTTGTTTGAATAGTTATTTTCGGTTACTTTTGGTATAATTTTGTAATACAATGCTTTCAGTTTTCAGATTGAATATTTTTTTTCCAACGAGAGTGTATTTTTGACTATGTGAGTTTTGTGAGTGTGTTTTTTTTTCTTGTATCATCGAAAGCGGGTTTTTGTTTTCGTTTTAAGGATAGTATAAATTCCTTCTCTTTTCTAGCTTGAAAAAAAACATTGGAGAAACAAATGTGTGTGTTGGTATGAATTCTGATGAAATGAAAGATTTGCATTTACTGTGTACGGATAACGTTCACTGAGATAGATAAAGGAAATTTGACATTAAAGAATCGTTTTGCTACAAGGCGCGAACAAAGGCAATATACAAATCTAGGCAAATAAAAGAAAACTTAAAAAAGAAGAATGAAAAAAATAAAATAAAACGTAACAATAGAATTCGAGGGTAAGCTTCAAAAGGGGCTTTCGTTCTTTGTTTTTCTTCTCCGGGAGTGTGATCAAGGGGAGGGGAGGGGTTCTTCATTTACATTCTCTGGCTCATCCTGGTCTGCTTTGTGTCGTGTCTCTCTAGCGGTAATCAGTTCTAATCCCTCGATATTTGTTTTGCTTTTTTGTCTTCTCGAATGGGAAGAGGGTTTTCAGTTTTGCAATTATGATTCTGCCTGTGTGTTTGTGTGTGTGTATGTGTGAGTGTGTATGTATGTGTGGGTGTACAATTTTTGTTTTCAGCGAGGAGATGAGTGTTGGAGCGTGAAGAACTACGCACGCGAGCAGACTGAGGAAAACTGATTCCTACCGATTCCTAATCCAATTAATCTAGGAAACGCGTTTTGCGAAAAAGTTTACACAGGTAGTTGCGGCGACGGTGGCCAATGCATTGTGTGACAGGGGCCAACCCCTTGCCGTGATGGATCAGGTTGTCAGATGATGAAACTGCCAGCAAGAAACTTGAGAGAGGAAGCTGATGAATATTGATGAGATTGAGGTTGAAGAGGTTGAATTCGCATGGTGGCCGACGACCAAGATGACGACGACGTCAGCCGTGTAACCATCCAGCGACGGCCTCCGGATGGAGATGACGATGACGGATTGACGGTGAACATTGATGGTAATCCAAAATGGTGGCTTTTAATCTTCTCTGCGCAACCGGTTCTTCTGTTCAACTCTTTTCCTCTCGTTGCACAAACTTCACTTCATCTTTGTTCTTCTTCTTCTTCTTTTTCTTTTCTCCATCAACTTGTTCTTCACCGACACACTCTCCGTTTCACAACTGTAAACTTTTACCAGCGCTCGTGGACTGTTTCAAACTGCAATTTTCTCTCAGTGTGGTTCGCTGCTGCTCCGTTCCGACGGCTTTACTAACTTTTTCTTCTGGTTTGCTCTGTAGTTGTTAATTTTGTATTCACTACGTTTCGCTTGACTTTCTTTGGAACACATATTTTAATATATAGCGATATTTTCTTGATTTCCTTAACTTGTATCCTATTTTGTAATTATTATTTTCTTTACTATCTTTCGAAGTTGCTTGGAGTAAAACTACTATCACATTTAAATGCAACGAAAAAAGTTGCTCGATTATAATTTTTTTTTTTCATACTTTTGCCTTCATTTTCTTCGTCATTGTAAGACACAAACAAAGAGATTATAGCGATGATTAATCATTAATAAATTACTTCATCTTCTTCGTCGACTTTTTTCTCTCCACACTCTTCTTCATCGTGACTTTCGTCGTCTTGCTTTCTCTTTGCCCAATCTTCTTCTTCTTATTCTTCCTTTTTAAAATCACACATTATAGCACGACACTTGCTGCATCTGCGGGAATGCTGGAGCCATCAGCGGCGGGAAGGAGCCGCCCATCGAGCTGGTCATCATGTACGGATGCAGCCGATGGGAGGCGCGCTGATGCTGTCGGTACTTGCCGGCAAACAGGGCGGCCTTTTCCGACGCCGACGACTGGTGATGGTGGAGGTGGTGATGATGGTAACTGCTGCCATTGACACCCGCACCGGAACGCATCAGTGAGTGGCCGGAAGAGGCGAGCATGCTGCCGACCCCGGCGGACATCTTGCTGCACGCCATATGCTCCGGCCCGGCCTGGTAGTCCCGGGGTATCGTGGCCATCGGGCTCTTCTCCAGCAGTGCGGCCGTAGTGTCCCATAGACTACCACCGCCGCCACCACTGCCAGTCAGTCCTAGTTCTGTGTTGTTGTTGCTGTTGTTATTGTTCCTAAGGTTATTGTTATTGTTGTTGTTGCTACTATTACTATATACACCACAGCCTCCAGAAAGCATAGCATCACGTTTGCCAACGACCGACGGGTTCCGGTACATCGTTGCCGACGGTTGATAGCTGTTGTTGTTATTGTTACTGCTGACGGCCGCCTGCGAGCTGACGGCGGCGGCGGCCAGTAGACTAGCATTTGTTTTGATCGGTAACGATTCCGGTCCTGCCTGGAAATCGCGAGGCACCGCGGCCATTGAAGTCTTTTCGATGTCCCACCGGGGACCGGATGGCAGTCCACCCTCCAAGCCGCTGCCACTGCTGTTGAATGCAGCACAGCTGGCAGCTATTAGGTTCTGCTGGTGCTGCTGATGACCTCCGGAGCCGACGGCACCGGTATGCCCGGTGCCTGCCAGCTGCGGCGGCATACCCGTATTACTACGTTTGATGACTTTTGACTTGCTGCTGTTGCTGTTGCTGCTACTACTGTTGTTACTGTTGCTGTAGGCAGTTTGATTGGCTAGGTTGACTTTTCCGTAGCTCCGGACAACCCCGTCGGAGCCAATGTAACGGCCCCAGTCTGAGGTATTTGCTAGTTGTTGCTGCTGTTGTTGACTCTGCAAGCTGTACTGATTGGTGGATTGCTGTTGACTGGACAGGTGTGACTGTTGTTGATGAAGTTGCTGCTGCTGCTGAGGCTGTGGTTGATGAGAATGATGGCGATTATGCTGAGATTGAACGTGTTGTGACTGTTGCTGTTGTTGACTACTCGTCCCAACAGGATAGTGCGCCTGTTGGGACCGCTGAGCCATCTGCCGTTGAACGTACTCATCAATTTGCTGCTGCAAATTCTGATGATGTTGCATACTGCTCTGATGGCTCGTCACAACAGCATGCTGCTGCTGTTGCTGCTGTTGTTGTGCCTGCTGCTGCTGTTGATGCTGCTGCTGTTGTTGCTGCTGCTGCTGTTGTTGCTGCTGCTGCTGCTGTTGTTGTTGCTGCTGCTGTTGCTGCTGCTGCTGTTGTTGCTGCTGCTGCTGCTGCTGCTGCTGCTGCTGCTGCTGCTGTTGTTGCTGCTGCTGTTGTTGTGCCTGCTGCTGTTGCTGCTGCTGGGAACTGGTCTTTGAGCTCCGTCGGCTCATCGACGACGAATCAACAACGTTGGCAACAATTGAATTAGAACTACGGGATGAATTTGGCATATTGTTTATGAAAGGACTTCGCCGCTGACTCTCCATCTTCCGGAAGTAGCACGGGTGTATCATCAGCAGCGGTTCCACACGGGCCCCCACCGGTGGTTTGGCCTGATTTGGTAACTCGTACTCCACGCTACAGTCCACGTGCAGTGGTATGCTGTAGTCTTTCTGTGCCATCGGGCCACCACCGGCACCGGTTAGCCGCGACGGCACCGATAGGTGATGCAACTGGGCCGTCTGCTGCTGCTGCTGATGCCCGATCCCCGACGACGTGGATAGGTCGTAGTTTGGATAGCACGCTGCCATCGCCATCCTGCTGCCAGTGTTGATGATGGTGTTGGTGCTATTGATTTTACTCCACTCCAACGTTGAACCCCGACGTGGTCCCGAGACCACTCGCAACGGGTAAACGACACTTACTCCGCACTCCTACCACTTTTCATTGGAATCTATTCCAGGCTTTCAGAATTGCTCGCCTTCTCTTCAAACACTCACTATCTTTTCAACCATTTGGCACCAAACTTCCTTCGATATGCTTCAATTTCCTTCCTTCTCTTCTTCTGCTTCTTTTTTTCTCCAAATCACTTCTTGTATCAACTAGAATTTACACACTTATCAGGAACATTAATCCAAAGAAAATTCCGACAGCTGCTGCTTCTGCTTCTGACTCCCGACGGTGGTCTGCCCTTTCAACAAGAGCAGATGCTGGCAGGGACTCGATGAGAAATTGGCTGCTAGAACTCAGTCTTGGTGAAACGAATTTGTTGCTGACGAGCTTTGAACGTTGCTCCTCGTAGAAGTGAGATTCGATCGGTTCCCGAAATCTCTCCCTCCACCGACGACACGTCCGCCCTTCCTTCAGCTCAGTCTTCACTAGGAAAGTATTCCTTCTATTCTTCTCTCGGATTCAACTTCCGTCTGACCGAGTTGATCTCACTTGTCAATTCTTCTACCCCCAGGGCAAAAAAAAAACGAAATTGGCTTCCGCTGACCGTCTCACTTTAAGCCACTAATCAGGCACACACTCGGCTCGCTTTAAATCCACAGTGACCTGATTTTGACACATTCACATAATATCGATTTTCTCTTTTCCCCTTTGCCTTCTTTTCCCACACACTCGCTGGCGACGAAGACTCGCGCTCGTCGATCCACGGCACTTAGAACGACAACGACGGCGACGTTCTTCTCGGTTCACACTCTTTCTCTTGTGCAGCGCTTCGAATCGACCACACTGGGGTGCTGAAATCTTACTGTTACTGTCCTGTTTCTTTGCCCCACCGACACCGTACGCGCGCTCTTTCGCTCTCGGTCCGTCTTTGTTTCGCTCTCGCTCACTCTGCCGTACGCTTTGACCGACCTTTTCCTGCTGCTGTTGTTGTTGTTGTTGTTGTTACTTTACTTGTTATGTAGTTTTTTTTTACTTCTTGTTTGAGCCCGGTCCACAGCTCTTTGTGGGTTTGTTTTCTCGAATGATGTTTCTTCTTCGGGCGTTGTGCCTCGACTAAACCGAACCAACTGCGGCGAACGTACACGGGCAGTGCCATTCCGGGCTCCAGCAGCAGGCACGAATGCGCACTCCAACCGTTCTCTCGCGTGCTCTCTCGTTTTTCACTTCCTCTTCACACTGTCTTCACCGTTCGTTTGGGTGTATTTGTTTCTCCAGTGTTTCCATTGCAAAATTTTCAGAATTGATTGAAAATTTAATTTTCGTGCGTAAACTATTTGACTTAGTCAACATTTTACATTTTTGCTTATTGTTCTTCCAGATTTAAAATATTAGTAAGCTGAAAAAAATAAAACCTCAATCACCCAATCTGTCCACCCTGGTCCATCAAACCACCTTCCTGCATTCGTCACCCGTGCCCCAGCTCCGGCTGGGTCCCGGTTTGAGTCGAGCCAAAAGTGACGTAGTTTTTCCGTCATTTGGGAATCCCGTGTGGTGGTGTGCGTGAAGCAGCTGAAAATCATGATGGCCATCGTCGTCGTCGCGCTCCACACACGTTGACTCATACCATCACCGTCGCGACGGAGAGCGGCTGCCATTATTGCGTCAATTTCCTCGGAACTACACCACCCGACACTGACTGCTTTGAATGCGCCGCCGCTGCCACCGCCATCGCCGCTCTTTCTTGTTCTCTTGATTCGCTCGCTCTCTCGCTATCCCTCTCGGGACCCCTTTACTATATTTCGGAACTCGAACCAACACAACCGAACGGATCATATGGTTGCGCGCTCGTTGCGCTGACTGCTACTGGAATACACGCATCCCACCTTGCCGACCACCACCGGCTTTCATCTTGCCGCGCCACCATCAGCAGGTTGGTTGGGCACGAGCTTGTGTGTGGATGAGGGTTTTAAAGAAGGTTCGCTAGCCCGACCAGTTACCTACCACCAATACCAAAGTGTGTTGTTTGGTGTCCCCCTTTTCGCTAGAATTGATGGTGGCTTCTGGGGTGTCTTCGTATGGATTTGGAGTCAGGGTTTGGAAAAATTTGCGGGCGATTGGAATCGGTTCATTACACTGATTCTCATATCCATCCCCGGGGGGTTAAATTGACTTGATATTTCGTTGGTTTCTAAAAATTGCTACATAGCACAGGTAGCATTTTAAAATATAATGAAACATGTCATTCTGTCGGTATACTAACTATTGGTAAAATTTCTGGTAAAGGTTTCTGAAATGTGCTCACAATAAACGTTCCCTAATTAAGGCAAATCTTAAAGACATATAAATTTATACCTCGGATTAAACTGCTTTTCAGTAGAAAGAAGCCTTAATGGGATACCGACGACTTTGTCTAGCCGGCAACTGGGATGGGGAAAACTACTGTCAACATCGCTTTATGGGTACCAATAAAGTTTTTATAAGAACTAGTTTACCTGCCTGCTTCAATCAGAATATCAGGCTTGCCCCAAAATGTCTACACTAGGTACCTAAAATTATGTTATGGTCTGCACTCTATGTATTATTTTACAATAAAAGGTACGAGTGCCATTTATATACGATTTTGATCGGTTACCGTAAGCTTAAGTGGAATTTTCATCATCAACTAAACCAAGAAAGGGTGAACTATTACTAGATCCGGTAACGGTAAGGGGATGTGCATCAACTACGTAGACATCTTAGGGATTTCAAATTGGCTCAAAAACCGTCATTGTAGTTTTTGGACAGCCCCGGCATTGGCTTCTTTTGGCTTTCGTTGGCTGGCAGAGGCTGTTCCTGACTCGAACCCCCAGATGGCGAGGCAACTTGATTACTGTCCTCACTACTTTGATCGACACGATGTGGAACGGGTTGAACAACTGGCATAGTAGGATGAAATTTATCTGCCAAGTCTGAGTATCGAATTTGATTCACGTCAACCATTCGAACGTTTTCTTCGACACTAATTAAGTACGCTAAAGGACTGATCTTATGCAAACTTATCGCGGGAATCCATCGGATTAATTCTTTCAAATCATTACGGTAAAGAATTTGATCTCCGACGTTGAACGACTTCCTTACTTCCGGTGGAGACTGTTCAATTTGAACTTCAACGCGAACGGGTTTGGAATGCACGGACTCTAGTTCGTCTTACACGGATTAATCATATTCGTTAGCGTTCGCGGAGTATACAAGAATATCATCGACGACGGCGTACAACTCGTCATTGTAGATGGAGTGTTCCGGTAGTTGATTAGAAATCGATTAATCTTTCGGTATATCGATAACGACTGATGCTTTTCATCGAGTAGCTATTTGTTTTAAAACATCTTTCACCGTCCTTACGCCTCTCTCGGCCAACCCGTTAGATTGGGGGTGATAAGGTGGAGATTTAGAAACCTTCCCAAGCAACCAAAAGTTCGGATAAAAGCCCTTTTTTGGCTTAATCAGCTAATCGAAATATTATGAAGAGAATTCTATTCAGCTTACTTTTTAAGTAATTAACCGAACTTCCAAGTTCACATTCGATGTTTAAGCTTCTAACAGAATGCTGTTTCACTTTTAAAAAGAACTTGAAAGTTCACAAAAGGTTCGTTTAACCGTTGGAGGGAATGCTATTCAGCCCAAAAAGAAAACTTGAATGAAATCTACAAACCAAAATAGAAAACAAATGTATCTATTATTTTGCTGCTTACCACGTTCTCTTCTAATTTATTATGCGCTGCTGCGTCGTCAGAAGGTAAATGTTTGAAATATGGTCAAATATTTAATTTAAATTACATGTTTTTAAATTACTTACCGCAAGTCTTGAACTCGAGCCCTCCTCTTTGAAACCGAGATTCATACCACTGCTCTATGTGAACGAAGTGGAATATCATACTGAATATTTTACTCAATGTGTTGATTTCATTCATAAAAATGGTTTTCAGAGTAGCCAAATCTACTTTCAAGTTCCGTAAGAACTATTTTTGAACTTCAAAGTCTCTGATTAGTTCATGTAGATTACGGAACTGATTGTGAACTTGCACCGTTTGACATTTGACAGCTTGTTTTGTTTTCCGCAGAAGTTTTCAGTAATATCGGAAATTACGAAAAAATTTGATTGAATTGTAGTAAATTTAAATTTATTAATAAGTAAATTTTGTGTTGAGACTTGTTTTATTCAGAGAATTATCAAGGTATGGTAGTGGAACACAAACCTCAATAAAACTTATTAAACTACAACATATGTTTTTTACTTACAGAAATGCCATTCGCCGTAGTAGACACATTGAACGCTCGAGGCTGTAAGGAGCTTTCGGTCGTTCCAGAACAATGGCTGCGGAAATCAAAAAGTGGACACATTTTGTTCTGGCCAAACGCAAACAGTTTCGCAGAAAAAGATAAATTGGTCCGTGACGAAAAAAGCTGCTAGAAAATGACATTTCTAAAGTTGCTTACAAGTTCAAGTCAAGGTTCAAGTCGAACTTCCTTCGAACTTATCTAGAACTTTGCGTGTACTTTAAAGTCTGAAAGAAGTTAACCATAGATTAATTGTGAACTTTCGCGCTGCTTAAAAGTACGGTTAGTACTAAGATTGAACTTTGTGTTAGAGGTTCGAAACAAGTTCTTTATTCACTGTTTGTGAACTTCACAGTTCAAATGAACGGGGACAAGAAACTTCTGTTGAACTTTCAAGGTTCCAATAAATATTGGCGATACTTTAAAGAGCATTAAGTTCTGTTTGTACGTGTAGTGCCTCGTTAATCAGCAAGAAAGTTCCACGGAACTAAATTTGAACCAGATCTGAACTTTTGAGTTCGTTTCTCAAGTAAAATCTGAACTTTAGGTTGCTTGGGTTAACACTATTTGCATCAAGAAATCTTACGAAGAGTTCCGAGTTAAAGGGAGGACCATTGTCGGTGACAACCTCTTCGGCTATTCCAAAGTAAGCGAAGCTCGATTCTACTTGCTCTATCATCTGCAGACTATTTGAACCTTTCTGTTCGCGTGCAGTCCAACCCTGCGCCCAACTTAGATGTTCGTGCGTGGTCCTACCCCTCGCAAAACCAGCTGTCAAACTCGTCGTCCCGCGCTCCCAACATAGAAGAAAAATACCGCTTCCGGAATTCATCAGTTTTTCATTCGTCTGACCGAGCGGTCGACAACACGTTTCTTTCTTGTAAAATATAAATAAAAATACAGTCCATTTTCATTTCAATTAGTTCGCCGCGTTTTATTGCGTTCCGCCTGCTCTCTCCCGAAAACATTGGACCTTCGAGCCGATATCTACGAAACCGCTATGGAAGCGATTCGGAAACGTCACGACGTGTTTTTTCAGCGCATGAAATGGGAGCAGAATAACGCTAGTGCGGTCGAAAGAAGAAATCCTCCTTTCGGCGAGATTCAGGAGCGATTGAACAGACTCACTGAACTTTGTGAGCAATTTGACAAAGTGCAATGTGAAATCGAAGAGCAGTCTGAAGCGCTCGAGGAAATCAACTCGGTCTTCAATCACAGGTTTGAGTTCGAAGAAATGTACTATCAATTAAAAGGGCGCTACGTCAAGCTACTCGACGAACATAGCCCCACGAAAGCAACGAAATCGATCTGGCGTCCAGAATGGATCGGGATTTCATATGCGTAAACATCCAGTATGTGAAAAATAATTACATTATTATCAGAACGCTTGGCGTCATCGAGTTACACGTTAATCACACAGCTGTTAACTTGACCACAGAAATTTTAAAAATTCTGCACCCATACGGAATTGACATTCGACGCATCTTAACGGTGACATCTGACAATGCGAACAATATTCTTGCCACAGTAAACCGTCTCAAGATGACACAACAAGAGGCCCTCAACGATTTTGATGCGTTGCTGTGTGCTGAAGGACACACGACTCGTCCAAGAATTTCGGATGCAGTGTCTGATGACGAATTGGAGGAAACGGTTGTGGTCGATGATATCGAAATCGAGGATGCGTCGGAAGACGTGAGAATGGAAAAAAAGGATGGAACTCATAGATCCAATTTTGCAAGGAGTTCGTTGTGCGGCACACACTTTGCAGCTGGCAGTTAACGACACTATAAAAGCAGTAGAATTGAAA